ATTTTCTTTTGTGCTTGATACTTCTTTAACTTTTCCTTTTTTCTTTTGCTGTAGAACTGATGTTTTTTAAGTCGTAAAGGAGAATTTGCATGTTAATTAACTTTCAACTGATATATTCATGTATTCATATAAATGTGTAGTACACACAAGTTGACACGCCTGCATATATAGGTGGGTATGCAGTTCCATAGTTGCATGCTTTCCAGTCATAAACTTCATTTTTAGACAGGTGGTCATTTCATGGTGACTGATTTTGATATCTTTTTATTCTTCTTGTAACTCAATTTCCATCTTTGCAGTTCAAGAGATGCAATCGTGCTCACCTTGAGATTATTTATGCTGAGGGTATGATCATTTGTTTAAAACCTTAGAATTCTTTTTTCTTCCTTGGATTGATAATTTCTGCACCTGTTCCTTAAAAGAAAAGGTAAATAGGTTCTCCATATATGTAAATCTGATATCTTAAGCTCACGCTAAATGAAACAATCTTTTGGACCTTTTATTTTATGTTGGTGCCATTCATTAGTTATATATTAGTTTTGGTCTTTTTGGAGTCATCGCTCAGCTGCTGTCTCATCTGAAAGCTCCTATGGCATTGACATGTTCAAGCTACATTTTAACAAACGAATTCAATGAGCAGTTATAGAATTCATATGCAAACCAATAATTTTATATTTAAAAACTTGGTCTGCAAATGACTTCTACATTTTTTCTGGAATTCATTTGTTACAGAACAGTGTCAGTTGTTTTTCATTTCTTCAACAGATGCTAATTTTAGACTACTATAAGTAAAGCAACGGGGGATAAAATGCACTCCTTCCCCATATTGCAAGTGAAGGGAAATTTAATGACACCACTTGGGCAGTGCAATTCATGTTCATTAACAGTAACAATCAGATGGAAATTCACTTCTGCTGAGGCTATCGTGGCTTCCCTAAATGAAGCCACTGCCTCGTATGCTCATAATATACATTCAAACAGAGTTCCTTTTTTATTTCAAAAGAATATATATAAACAGTCAAAGAGAGATCTTATTCTTGCAGTGCATGTTTGTTATACACCCTGAGTTAGGATGCTAGGGAATCAACTAACAAGATTGAAGAGTATGGTAGATCTTCCCCTGTCCCTAAGTCAGTCTTTCCTTCTAGAATGTGAGAACATGGGAAGAAGCATGAAGTAGATCAATGAAAACATATCTTTTTATCGTCCTCAAAAGTTAACATAGTGAATGGTGATTCTATTTGTGGAAGGTGGTATTGAATTGTTTGGCTGACTAACACAAATGGTACTCCAGGAAGGGGGAAAAAGGAAGGATTGAAGGACATTTATTTTGTTTAATTTTTTTCTGTTTTCTGAGACAGATGAGATATCACATTCTTTTATAAGATAAGTTATTTTGATTGGAATTAATGTGGTTTCTGAGGAAATAAGAATGCTATTTTTATGCTTTATTCAAAATGTAATAGCAGGTAGTAGGAATGTATATTTTCATTAATACCTAGCTAAGTTTTGTGATGTCTTGGTTATGATGAATTTGTTATTTTAATATTGTTTATAATCATGTAACTTAAGTTTAGTATACTTGGGGACATTTCTATTTAGAGATTTAAGTAAGAGTATGATATTTTGTGAGAAAATAAGTATTAATAGAGTGAAAATAGAGGGGTATAAATGCTGAGGATAAGACATGGTTCAGAACCTTAAAAGGGAACTAGAGAGAAAAAACATACAGAAAAATCAATATAAGACTCTGCATCCCAGTCCCTCCATAACAATCGGAAGAAACATCCCCAAAAGTATTTACTTGGGACACATTTTCATCTACAGATACAAGTAGAATATGGTCTACTTTCCTTTGTTTCTTCATTTCCTTTTAATCATGTCATACTTTCTTCGTAAGCATTTATATAAATTTACAATATGGGGATGGAAACATCTACATGCAAAATAAAATATGATTATCGCTTTTCTGAAAAATTCCAAAGAGTATATTCAGCGTGGATGTGCCGTTGAAATTATTTGTTTCTTAAAGGTTCTCTTGTTGAATGTTGCAGGCTAGTGAGAGAAGAAAGGGAAAGAAGAAGGGGTTTTTATTTAACAAGTAAGATAGATTATAGTCTTCTTGCTTTGCAGCTTGGTGGAGTAGCAGATTTTGAGGGTTTCTAGTTAGAAGGTTGAGTATGCTGCCCAAATTTGAGTAGCTTTTGTACCACAATCAATTGCAGGCAGGAATGAGCCTGATGTGTTTTTCGCCCTATGTATATGTATATTTTAAATCCCAGTTGTATGTGCCTATGCGATAACGATCTAAATTCCCCCAGGTCCCTTGTATTTTTCCACGGGCAATGCACATACAGAGAATGCTTTCTTTCACACCCAAAGCTGGACTGTATATTTTTGGTGAAATATAGAAATTGTGCATATAAATGCTTTCATTTGGCTTAACTTCTCAATCGCCCACTACTTTGTCTCAGCATGAATGCTTGATTTGGCCCAAGTGTGGAAGGGTGGTTGGAAATATCACACCATAAAAACAGAACATTCTTGTGTTTACATAGATATCATTGGTTTCGTATGTGGTGTCATTCGGTTCTAATCTTTGCAGCAACTAATTATGCCTTTCTAAGTCGCCATGTTAGCAATCATACCGAAGTCTGTCTACCCTGTAATCATTGCCTTTTGAATGTTATTTATTGATTTTCTCACAGGATTTTTGGAAAGATTATCCTTTGATAGTAGAGATAAGACTCTTGGTTAATGGGTTTCATGCCGTATTTTAACTATTGATTCCAAGTTAAGTCTTGTATCTTTAAGCAGTTAGTATGTATTTTACACTTGTATCAATTTCCACTTATTTTGATGTATTTTTTAATTTTAAAAAGTAATTATTTATAACTGCAAATGTAAAGAATACCCCTGTATCACTAAGATCATCATCCTCTCTTTCTGAAATCTCAACTCCCCTAGTCTCTGTTTCACCGCCAACCTCATATCCAGTGCATTTGGATGGAATGAAGAACTTGTTTAAAATGACAAGAGGAACAGTCATACTGAGGGAAATAAATTATGCATGTTTCTTTAAACGAGTCAAATTGGGTAAAAAGATTAAGTGAAAAGTAAAACGTAGTTGAAGCAAAACATTAGGGTTTACTTACCAGAAAAAAACGAAACCTTGTCTATTACTTACCGTAATCGACCCAAAGGACTTCATTTCTTAATTTATAATATTAAATTTTTTTTTTATAATCAATTTATAATAAATTTAGTGCCTTGAGTAGTGTTTATTAGGACACGTGATATTCAACATCAATTGTCCATTACCAATAATTTTGTTAGTAATTTAAGGTTCAAAAAATTCTATTTGGTAAAATTTATCATAAAACATCATGCTCAATAATAACAAAAATGTAAGATTTTACATAATTTAAAAAATTAATTAGTAGAAGAATATTTATATAAAGATATTTAAAAATAAAAATAATAATAGAATTACGGAATTTAAATGCATAACAAATTGACTGATGTATATATATATATATATATCATATATGTGGAAATAAAAAGTTGCAGAGTGAATTCGTGTTAATAACATCTTATAAATTTTAAGAATATATGATAAAAATATAATACAAAAAAATAAATAAATTCAATAAATATAAAAAGGTTGGACAAGAAATGCTATCGGCCCGTAACCCAGGAACCCAAAACGCACCATTTCACTTAAATTAGTGATTCGGTGCATTGGGCCCACGTGAGCTCGGGACAGAACGGCTATATAACCTCTTCTTCTTCCCCAAGCAGCCTGACCCCTCTGCTTCCGGTTGCGCTGACCGTACACTAGGGTTTCCTTATTCCCTTGCTTTTTTGTGTTTTCCCTTTTGATTTCTTGCAGCTGTGAGGTAGCAGCACTCTTCATTCCAAGCGCCGCAGCAAGAGAAATCTTCACTGATTTCTCACTTTCGAGTTCTTCACCGCCGTACGGAAACTGGTATATTTTCTTGTGATTTCTACCGATTAGGTTGTAGATTGTGAATGTTACCTGCATCAATTTCATCTCTTTGGTTTGGTAATGAACTAAAGCATGTGAGTTTTCTGGTTGAAATAAAATGAATTTATTATACAATTTTGTGATGCCTTGATCTATTAAATGGGATGCTTTAGCATGAAGCCTTTGTTACTTACATCGAATTGATATGCATAGTATACTGAAATCTGAGATCTCTGCATGTTTCACACAACTCAAAATGGTGTTAGGCTGATTTAATCACTGTTTGATGTTTGACTACCCTTTTAGTTTTACATTTTAAACTAAGCCCTGTAAAGAATCATTTAGGTTTCTCTATGTTTGTGACTGTTTGATGTTTAGTTTAGTGGTTACTTATTTTTGGGAATGTTTACGACCTCTGTTTGATGTTTAGTTAATGGTATCTGTTGTTGGACGTGATTAGTGTATAAAGATGCTGTTTGAGGATATACGTACTTACTAGCATCATTTTTCTTAAGACTTTGTTCACGGTGCGTGTTTGGTAGAAATGTGCTGAGGACGATCATATCTAGTTTATATGCCTAAATTATACATCAACATGGAAATTGCAGATGGGCATGGCATGTTTTATTTGTGTAAAAGTTTTTCAAGCATTATTCTTTAATTAAATCAATCATAAAAGAGAAAAAGAATAATATAATGAAAAAGAACAACAAAGACCAAAATCCAGGAATCATGAACAAAACTCTCTCCTATTGTGACTTGGGAAATGATGTAGACCTCTTGAAGAAAAGGAGCATTTAGGGATGTTAATTAATTTTGTTGTGATTGTATTTTTTATTCATTTTATTTTATTTTTAGCTTTTCTAGTTTATTTGTCCTTTTTGATGCACTTGAAACCCCTATCTCCTTTGGTTTGTAAATTATAGGACTAGTGAATTATGGGTGAATGGTCATATGACATACATCACCATTATTAAAAAAATATGAATGAAAAAATTAGGCATGCTAATCATAGGATACACCACATGGTAGGTGTCTCACTTTTCTACCTCATATCACTCGCAACCTAGAATCTCTAGAAAGTGGACCAGTAGTATGTTTTATGTACTGGCTGATCCTGCTTCTAATAAGATCAGTGACAACTGTAAAATTTTTATATCTATCATTTAGATATAGACCCAGTCAGTTATGGGGCTAAAAAGTTTCTTTTTTATGTGGTGGGTGTTGGGGTTTGCATACCTGCCCCCTTGACCTCGCATCAGCCAGATAAGGCATGTAAATACTTCTCCTTTCTCTTCCATTCTTTTTCTTCCAATTCTATCTCCACATCTCTCTGTGATTTCTTGTTTAAATTTGCTCTTTTAGTTAGCTGGCCAAGCTGCAAAGAAGAAAACCTTTCATTCTTACTCCATCTAGCTCTAATTTTCTTGAACTTATCGAAAAAATAAGTTTCTTTGGTCTTTCCGTGATTAAGCAGAAGTTGGTTCGGATCTGAGGCATTCATATATCATATGCTTGCTGCTTTCTTTGAGCCAGATTTCCTTGCTTCATTTTGTTGATATTATGTTTCTACTTTGCCACGTTATTTATTTACAATTTACCTGCATGTGTAGCATTTCCAGATTTGCTTTGCTTTTTTTCTGCTGTTTTTTGTTTGTTTGGTATTGTGAAGGATGTAAAGTCTGGTATCGTTTCTGGTTGCAATTGCGTGCTGCATAAGTGTGTGCTTGTTTTCTATTTGCTAGATTTTGGCGTTGAGCTTTGCATGTTGTCTATGTTTTGTAATTGTACTCTCTTTTAGTCTTGAGTTTTTCTGTTTTTGAACTCAACTTATTTTTAGGTTGTCTGTAGGTTTCATTTTTTTATTCTAATAATGTCACAACTTATTTTGACCGGTGGTGCAGGTGGCAAAGATGGACACCATCAAGCACTTATCTTTTCCAGCTGATGCCCCTCCTCTCTCGGTCATCGTAGCATTCAAACTTGCAGGAATTTCTCTGCTAACTGAAACCACCGCTGCCGTACCTACCTTGATCTTCTCTGATGGGTACTTTTTGTCATAATTTATTTTACTTTTTGTTTTGGTTACTCAAAAAAGATGTTGCATATTCACTTTTTTACAAAACCTTAATGTTAGGCGGAAATTGCACGGTGCATATGTACTTCTTCGCTATATTGGTCGGCTTGCCACCATTCCCCATTTGTATGGCATAAATTACTATGAGTCTGGCCAGGTAAAATCCTTTCTGGTTTTAACAAATCAACAACCAAACATATGTCTTCGAAATTTAGTCATGCTTTATCCACCCTTTTCAGATTGATGAATGGCTGGAGTATGCACCCACCTTTACATCTGGTTCAGAATTTGAGAACGCATGCAACTATGTGGACAAGTTCCTAGGGACTCGTACATTTTTGGTTGGTTATTATTTATCCATTGCAGATATAGCAATCTGGTCAATCCTTGCCGGTAGAGTTTTGACTCACTTTTCCTAATTATTTCAACATTCAAATTTTTCCGAAAATCATAATGAAAAAATATCCAAAACTGGCTAAGAGATGTAATGATGCTTTTAAATGTACATAAACCTCCCACTCTGAAAGAGATTTAATAATTCTATCTTTAAGATTCAACTTAGCTTGGTTTGCTTCTGTTTCTTTACATTTTTGTGTTAACCTATAGGAACGAGATACTTCTCAACCTCAATAATAGGTGGCTAAATTTAGAAAGTATTTAGATTTCTTTACTTGCTGTATATTTCATATAATATCACCATTAATCAACTTTATGTATGAATGAGACCATTGATCAAATATATGAACTAGGATGCCCATTAATGATATATTTATGTTAAAAAATTAGTGATATATGTATGATAATATGTATGAAACCTCTTAATGGTATGTGCACCTAAAACTAATGATGCATATATGGAATGAAAGTATGCGACATTTTAATTTGTTTATTAATTTGTGGATGGAGGGGCATAGAATATTTTGAGCTGAGTGTCCAACATTCTCCACAAAGTATGCCAAAGGTAGCTTATGAAACCTAGGGTAACAAAAGGAATTATAAGAGTACATGTATCTTGAAATTGTTAAAGCACCACACTAAAATAATATTAAGATTGGGTAATAGGTGCATGATGCTTCTTGAAGATAGTTGGAGCCTCCCCTTGTGCAGGGGATTAACTCTGCTCCGGATTGAACTTATTTTGGTTTGATTTCGTCCCTTTACAATTTTGCACTAACCTATAGGAAGTACTTATCAACCTCAATCATAGACACCCATATCTAGAATTATTTAGATTTCTTAATTTGCTAAGCTTCCATACAGTTTCACTGTTAACAACCTCAAATACATTTCTTTTTGAGATAAAAAAGTGTGAACTATATATTGACAAGGCACCAAAATGGGGGATACCGCCCATGTACAAAAGATTTACAATAATATTAGTGTATCTATGACATTCTCAAAATTTACATCACTAATAATGTCATAACTTAACAAAATAATATACCTAATAAAGTGAATCCACCTATCTTTTAATCTATAAATACTACTTTCAACACTACCCGTAGCTCTACCATTTTTCTCTTTTCAAAGAACCCAAAAAACAGTCAAAAGAGATTAGATTTGCTATACTTCTTTTTACAAATAAGCCATCCCAAGCCTTAACCGACCCAACAATAACCCAATCAATCTCTAAAAGATCATATATCATACACCAAATGCTGTAGGCATTAGGACACCACAGCAAAAGATGATATTTGCTTGGCCTTCCATAATTGCTTTTTAGCCGGAAAATCCCACCTAACAACGGCACCCCTATTACTCAGATAACTGTGGTACTAGATAACTGTCCCTGTGCAAGGATGACACGCACAAATCGAGTAGTACCAGATAACTGTAGTACAAACTGACAGAAAATTTACCTTTCTTTTCCAATTTTCCACAAAATCTGATCATTAATAGTCGAAACTTGCTTTGTTTTAAGTAGCTGCAGCAACTCTTCGTGTTCACTGATCTCCCAATCATTCAAGTTCGGATTAACATTTATCAACCAAGCAACATTCTCATTTGATAACCGGTAAGCCCCCTCAACTACCATATTTTTAGATTGGGCAATACCAAAAATTCTGGGAAATCTTCTCATCAGGTAGCCCTCACCAATCCATTCATTCTCCAAAAATTTGATCTTGTTGCCTCTGCCAAATTTTCACTTAATGCACTGCTGGAAGCAAGACCATTGCATCATTATTTTACCCCACAACCCTCTCCCGTGAGGGTTATAGATTCTGTTACCACCGCTATTTGCCATGTACTCTCCCCACCACGATTCCACAATCTTTCTCCATGATCTGCCTTCTTCACCTAAAATATCTCCATAGCCATCTTCCTTGAAGGGCTTCATTCATTTTTACCATGGATCTAATACCAAGTTCCCCATGGTTGAATGGTTTTTTGATGTCATCACATTCAGCAAATGGTATTTTTGATCTCCTTCATCATCCCCCAAAAGGAATCTACATTGGTTGGCTTCCAACTTCTTAGCCACCTTCACAGGAATTGTAATAGTAGAAATGTAATATATTGGGAGATTAGTCAATGTATTTTTAATTAAGGTATATCTACCCCCTTTAGGAAGGAAATTTCTCTTTCAGCCTGTAAGCTTTTTTTCAAAAAAGTCGATCATTGGTTCCCATGTAATTTGCTTCTTATATTTTTCACTCAATGGAACCCCAAGATATTTAAAAGGGAGCTTGATCTCGTTACATCCTAGAATTTTAGCATAAGACGCCGCATCACCGCTGCCTCCTATTCTGGCTAGTTCAAATTTATTTATTTTTAAATAAAAGAGTGTAAGAATAATATTAACAATTGTACCAAAGGGGTACCGCCTGTATACATATTATGGATTTACAAGTCAATCAAATGGTCGATAAGATACCCAAATTTATCTAATCCTTTAATGTCATGATCCAAAATAAAAAAGCCGAAAGTATGTAGCCAACTATCCCTAATATGAACAAAATTCTGATTTATCTAGATTTATTTTGAGACCACAAACAGCTTGGAAGCACAATAATACACATCACAAATGTAATAAATTCCTCAAATCTGGTTGACAGAAAACTAACGTGTCATCATGCTCCATTCTACCCACCGAGACTTCCCTCATCAACTGAAGATCTTTTGCCTTGCCTAACAACCCATTGAGAGCTTCCATAACCATGATAAATAGCAGAGGAGATAAAGGACCCCCTTGTCTTAAGCCTCTTGAAGCATTGAAGAAGTTGGAAGGACCTCCATTTATTAAAGCAACAAAAGAAGTAGTTGTGATACATGATTTCATTCGATCTCTCCATTTCAGCCCAAAGCCCATTCTCTTTTGCATACACTCAACAAAATTCCAATTTAATAGTCATAGACTTTCTCCATGTAGAGTTTACAAACCAAATCCTCCTTTTTATCAGTCAATAAATCATCTACAGTCTCATTGGTAGCCATTTTAACATTAAGGATCTGTTTTCTTTCAACAAATGCATGTTGACATTCTCCTATTACCTCACCAAGCACCTTAGATAATCTTTCTAGTCAACACCTTGGAAATAAATTTGTATATGCAACCCACCAAACTAATTGGCCTAAAGTTTTACATTAACACCACTTCTTTTAGTGATGTGGTGAT